GGGTCGCGCCGTGGGTCGCGCCGTACCTTGCTGATCTTGATGGCGCAGGGGGCTCCGGGGAAGCCGGGCAGGCAGGTCTTGAAGGCGGAGAGGTCGGAGAAGGGCCCGCGGCCGCAGGCGTTCAGCCCCGCCACGCGGAACTTGTACGCCGTCCCCGGCTGCAGCTCCTGCCGCCGCAGCTGGGAATGGTCCGGGATCGCCGTCCCGTCCTCCTGCGGGGGGGACACGCCGGGAAAGCCGTGAGGGACAGCGGAGGGACGTGGGACATCCGTGGGGACATCGGGAAACCCACAGGGAGATCAAGATGCACGTGAGGGGCACCAAAGGGACACCAAAGGGATGTGGGACATCCATGGGGACATCGGGAAGCCCACGGGGATGTATGATGTCCGTGGGGACATCAAGACGCCCGTAAGGGACACCGGAGGGATGTGGGACATCCGTGGGGACATCAGGAAGCTCGTAAGGGACAGCAGAGGGACGTGGGACATCGGGAAACCCACAGGGAGATCAAGATGCCCATGAGGGACACCGGAGGGATGTGGGACATCCGTGGGGACATCAGGAAGCTCGTAAGGGACGTAGGACATCTATGGGGACATCAGGAGACCAACAGGGACACCAAGACATCTGTAAGGGACACCAGAGGGATGTGGGACATCCGTGGGGACATCGGGAAGCCCATAAGGGACAGCGGAGGGACGTGGGACATCTACAGGGACACTGGGAAGCCCACAGGGACATCAAGATACCCATGAGGGACACCAAAGGGATGTGGGACAACTATAGGGACATCAAGACGCCCGTAAGGGACATTGGAAGGACGTGGGACACCCACAGGGACATCAGGAAACCCACAGGGAGATCAAGATGCCCATGAGGGACGCCAAAGGGACACCAGAGGGACGTGGGACATCCATGGGGACATCGGGAAGCCCATAAGGGACACCAAAGGGACGTGGGACATCTACAGGGACACTGGGAAGCCCACAGGGACGTACGATGTCCGTGGGGACATCAAGACGCCCTTAAGGGACAGTGGAGGGATGTGGGACACCTGTGGGGACACGGGAAGGACACGGGACACCCATGGGGACACCAGGACACTCATAAGGGACATGGGAGACCCGTGGGGACACGGGACACCCGTGGGGACACCAGGACACTCGGGAGGGACACGGGAAGGACATGGGACACCTGTGGGGACACCAGGACAG